AGCAGGTCGAGGCTGCGGTGGCTGGGAGCGGCCACTGCACTCCAGTCTGGGCAACGGAGTGAGACTCCAACTCAAAAAAAAAAAAGAGTCTTGGCACAAGAGGTATTCAAGCAGAGGCTGGAATCGCCTGCCAGGTGATGGGACTGACCTGGATGACCATTAAAGTCTTCCCACACCAAAAACGCTGTGAAGCCAAATAAGAGTAAAAGTCCTCTAAAGCAAGTTGTTGGGTGGTTGGAAAATATCTAATTTCGGAGAGCTGTGGCAGGTACTTAGTAAGGAGAGAAAAGCCAGCCCCACACCACTGGGTGCGTTACTCCAGGGGCACCACTCACCTCCAACCTGAGAGAATGGTGCCCCCAGGAGGAATGCGATGTAGTGGCCTGGCCCGGGTTACAATGACTACTTTGAATTACCGCCCATGTTTTTCCCCTAAATGCTCAAAACAACTTCAAGCACTCTGATTTTCCCTCAAAACACTTCCACAAGGTGGATAAGGCTGCGACTGGTTTTCCGATTTAGCAGACAAGAACGAAGAGTCAGAGTAACCACTCCCCAGTCCCCCATCACACACTCCTGACCACTGGAACAGGTACACTTGGTCCACACATGCATTAAACAGGGACTCCCTGCTCAAAAAGATTCCTCTGAAGTTTCAGAGTGCTGAATCTCTGGAGAAATTCTGTTTCCTTAGGATACAGTAAGTCATCCTTAAGTTTCAGGGGTCTCTTTAGTCACCTGGCACGGGGTCTTTCAAGAATCCAGAAACACGGAGGTGCGGCAAGTCTGCCCTGCTACCTTCCAACTGTATATTCACATTTCTTTGGATATACACAGTTTGGGCAGTCCACAGACAGCCTTAATGTGGTTTCAAGTAAAGAAGCTTGGCAGAATGAGAGGACCCTGATCCCTGAGAAGGGTTCCCCAGTGTCAAAGGGCCTCCCGCTACTTCTCCAAGACTAGTTCTGCAGAGAAGTTTCTCCATGTCACAATGATCTCACTTAAAGCAAACACATAAAAAGTCAGGCATCTATAAAATACATTTAAGAGGGGTTTTCACTTTATGAAATGATATATAAAGGATGTTTTCAAATAAATCAGACTTGCCAGGTACCTTTATAATGTAACACGATGTAAACATTTTCCAGGAACACTTTTACTGTATAAAGTGGGGTACACCTATAATAATAAAGCTGCAATGCACCTGACTATCAGCTGGGATTCTGCCGTGCTCAGTGCTTTCCGAATAGCAACATGCCCTCGCTTTCACTTATAAGGAGAGTCCGTAAACATTCTGTAGCTGTGGCTACCCTCCACAGCAGAACTGTACAGCACAAATAAAAGCAAGCCCTAGACGATGACTATTTCTTCTCTGTCTTCTGAAGTTCCCAGCATTTCAAGTCTCCTCGGACAAGCGGAGGCAGCAACAAGACTCGCCCATTTCACAGACGAGGAAACTGAGGCCCAGGGAGGGGGAAGGACTTGCCCAGGGTCACACAGCAAGCTCGTGGTGGAGCCGGGAACTGAATCCATGAGCCCAAGGCTCTGTCCATCTCCTGTGCCGCAGTTCCCTTCGCTCCTAAAATGGGAACAACATTGCCCATCTCGGTACACTAAGGACAGACCCCGTCTCCCAGCCATGCACATCTGCCCCTGTCTGCGTCCAAGCTGCGATGATGGTCATCCCACGCTGTACGTTGGGCCAAACTTCCCAAGCCCACTAGGGTACTGGGCAGCTCTCAAGGGGATTAAAAGGGGTTCAACTTTCAAAGGGCGGGGAGCTTATTTGCATAATTATCTTTGTATAGTCACACATGCAAATATGCATACAACGCTTTTCCGCAGTGGGCAACCTAGAGGAAGTGGAGGATCAATAGGACTTTCACGAACTGGAAAGTGAGCAATCGGTCACCCTATAAGCAAACACTCCACAGGGGGAGGTAACCTCTTCCTCCCACCTTCTTAAGTCGGCCCCTCCCCCCATCCCAACCATGCAGGGCCAGGCAGGCTCAGGGCTCAAATATGCCCAAGAACTGGAGGATGGCACACAGGTCAGGCGAGGTGCCTACCAGAAAGGTTTCCTGAAAAAATTGGAATGGAAAACGTAGAAAGCAAAAGGAGCGGCGGGCGGTCTCAAAACCAGTCAAGTCTTATTACAGAGAGAAACTACTGTCACTCAAAAACGAGTAAATGCTGATGACCCCCGAAGCCAGGGGTGAGGTGGGTCTGCACCCTGCGGAGAGGCACCAGAGGATACAGCCGCTCTGCCCCCTGCCCACGACAGGACACCTGACATGCAAGCAGCTCAGAGGTGGGAAGCTGTCAGAGCGCAGCACCTGCCTGGGCAGGAGCAGGGTGGGAGGCCGAGACAGCAATCCTTCCCCTCCGGCCCCGGCTCTGCCTCTTACCTGTAGGTCTTGCCATCTTTCTGATGGTCGTCGTCGTCCTCAGGGGAGAGGACATAGGGGTCACTCATCTCAGGCAGCCCAGATTCCAGCATCCGCTTCTTCTTCCGGCCCCGGGGTGGCTTGGGAGGCGCCACACTGCCACCTCCGCCACCACCTCCACCTCCTTCCTCTGTTAGGGTGGATGCCACCTTCTTGGCGAGGTCAGGGACCACCTGCAGGGCTTGTGAGCCCGGGGGAAGAGCTGAGACAATCATGGGAGCCGAAATGGGGAAGGTCTGAGCAGACGAGGCTGTGGTCACGAGAGAGCCTGAGGGGGACGTGATGACCAGACCCGGACCTAGGACCGGGAGAAAAGGAAGATGGGGTCAGGCTGCTCAGCCCTCCCTCGCCCTAACCCTGCTTCGTCCATTCCCCCGATCGTTGTCTCATCAACCCCTCACCGCCACCCCCAGCCCAGAGTACACAGGACACCCCACACCCTGTAGAAAAGCGGTGGTCTCCTAGCCCCTGTCCCCACCCCCCTGGTAGCAGTGAGATTTACCCCTTGATTGACTCCCTTCTCTTCTCCACCTCTGAGAACAGGAGACTCCTTGATTCAGAGAAGGAAAGAATGTCACCTCCTCAAAGGCGGGGACCGCATCTTCTACTTCTTTGTATCCCCCACCATGCCTAGCACATTGCTAAGCACACAGTAGGCACTTAATGAAAACTGGATTGAGCAATCAAACACAGGTCCCACTCCCCGAGTCCTTGGAGCCCTCCAGCCTGGGGCACCGATCATGAAGACCAACGCCTCAGATGGAGAGGAGCAGGGTTGCTCACCCGCAGTCATCAGGCCTGTAGATGGCACAGGGACCACCGTGATGTTCTGGGTGACGGACGCCTGGCTGTGTGGGGCCAGCTGATCGGACTTGGACTCGGTGTCCATGCTGATGCCCGAGGGCAGGGACACGGAGGCAGGCACTGTCAGCAAGGTGGGGTAGTGAGGTGGAGCCAGCCCACAGCCCTTCTCTGGCAGCAGCTGATCCTTCATTTTGTTGATGAACATTGTGTTCTCAATCTAGAAGAAAAGGGAGGGAAGGGGAGCGCCCTCTTCAGACAGAGCCTGACCCTGGACGCTGCGGAGCACTTTTCAGTGTGGGTCCTCCTTGGAGGCAAGGCTGAGACCTGAAAGTCTTTGCACTTCCAGAGACAAGCCGAGACGGAAACACCAGTGATGCTCAGGGAGGGGCCCAGCGAGACGGCAGGTGGCGCATCCTGCTTCAGCTTCCACAGTAACCGCATTTACTCCCCAGAGCTAAAAGCAGCGCCGGGGGGAGCAGAGCAGCCCCACGTACCTGTCCTGAGACTGTGGGGATCGAAGGCCAGAAGTACGGGTTAGAATTGAAGTGAGACTCTTCCATTCTACCTGAGAAGGAATGAAGACCACGTCACACTCAGGAATAAAACTGAAAAGCTCAGCAGTGGAGAGGGAGAGCTCAGGGCTCCTGGTTTCCTCCCCAGCACCTGATTACAAGGCTGGAAACTGGCAGTGGAGACCTCAGCGTCTAGCCTTGTGGTCCCTCGATCAGAGCACTCAGCACGGCCTCCCTTCCAACACAGGTATCCTATGTAGCGCCTGGGGAAAAAATGTATGCCTGCCAATTCACCCACAGAATGCTCTCCATGCCCCAGAGAAAAAGAACTGGCATAATTCTCCTTTAGAGACAAAAAGAGAAGCTAAGGTCATGAGAAGGGAAGGGATGTGCCCACGGTCACACAAAGCTAATCACAGACTGGTTAGAAAACAGCCAGGTAACCTATCACCATTCCTTCTTTTCCTTATCCTTCAAATTCATCTTCCTTGAAGTAAAAATTTCAAGCGTTCCAATCAACATATCTAAGTTCTATGCAGCTTGAAAAGGTTCTAGGTCAGAACACAAAATGCCTAATTAAAAAATGAAATGGGGCTGGGTGCAGTGGCTCATGCCTATAATCCCAGCACTTTGGGAGGCTGAGGTAAAGGACTGCCTGAGCCCGCATGTTCGAGACTAGCCTGGGCCACTTGGCGAGACCTCATCTCTACAATAAATCAAAAAAATCAGCCGGGCATGGTGGCGCGCGCCTGTAGTTCCAGCTACTTAGAAGGCTGAGGCGGAAGGATCGCCTGAGCCCAGCAGTCAAGGCTGTGGTGGCCAGGAGTGTGTCACTGCCTTCCAGCCAGCCTGGGCAACAGAGTGAGACTCCAACTAAAAAAAAAGAAAAAAGAAAAAAGAAAAAGGGTTCAGGTGTCAGCAGTGGTACCTCAGCTCTCCAAAGGTATTCGGAACAGGAAGAGTGGTGGGCCAGGACACATATATGGTACTAGACACCTGCTTCATATTTCTCAAATACTGTGCCTCTAAGAGAGTCAATTCTTCTCCGTATGTGAATGAAAGTTAAGTTTAAGACTTTGTGAGTGAGAACGAAGAAAGGTAACCCTCAGAATCCCGCTGCCAAGTCGTAGATGGGGACAGAATCCAGGCATCCCACCACTGACTTTCACAATCTGATCACATCTCCTAGCAGGGTTTAATGGGCAGTGTGCTGGTCAAGAACAGCTTCCCAAAATCCTGGCCCAGGAAAGATCTAGCCCAAAAGCAAGCAAGTAAGGAGAGTATGTGAGACTGACGGCATGGGAAAATGAGGAACAGCAGGAAATAAACATTATTACCATGCTGTTACCTGGAACCAAGAGCAAGGTTCAGGTGGGGAAGAAAGACCAGGACTTCCAGCCAAGTGAGACCCACTGAGGATATGCTGGAGGCAGATGCCAGAGACATTAAGAGCTCAAGAGTAGACTGGCATAGTTCAAGTAGCAACTCAAAAAACTAGGAAAGCCCTTAGACAAAGGAGTTGGAGCTGTAAATCACTCTAAATTTAACTGTTCCTTATCTTTTTCTAGGAGGCTCATCACGTTTTTTGTTCTACTAAATAGCACTCTCAATGTTCACAAAATTGCTAAAAGGAAGAAATGCAATTCAGCCTACTTTCGCTGAAAAAGCATCAAGAGTGGCCAGGCATGGTGGCACACACTTGTAATCCAGCACTTTGGGAAGCCAAGATGGGAGAACTGCTTGAGCCCAAGAGTTCAAGACCAGTCTGGGCAACATAGCGAGAGTCCATCTCTACAAAAAAATCAAAAGTGAGCCAGACATAGTAGTGCACACCTGTAGCCCCAGCTATTTGGGACACTGAGGCAAAAGGATCACCTGAGCCCAAGAGGCTGAGGATGCTGTGAGCTGTGATTGTGTCACTGCACTCCAGTCTGGGAGACAGAATGAGACCCTGACTAAAAAAAAAAAAACCAAGAGTGGAATGCATCAAACCTCTGACTACAACAGCTTCACAAAGATAAGAATCAATAGCAAATGACCAAGGATCAGGTACAGACAAGTCCTCTTCCCCGAGTTAGAAAATACAGTAAAACAAATTGGTCTCTGACACAGGTGCTACCTTGGGCTTTCCACCCCTAGCTTCATGAAGGGGTCTCAGGTCCTCAGGAAACAGAATTAAGAATCAACTGGCCGGGCGCAGCGGCTCTGCCTATGATCCCAGCACTTTGAGACATCGAGGTAAGAAGATTGCCTGAGCCTGGGGGTTCAAGACCAGCCCAGGCAACTTGGTGAGACCTCATTTCTACAATAAATCACAAAAACTAGCCGGGCATGGTGGTGTGTGTCTGTAGTTCCGGCTCCCTTGGAAGGTTGAGGCGGAAGGATCGCCTAAGCCCAGCAAGTCGATCACAATTTAAGGGGATCCAATTTGGCAAGTTTTTTGGGAGGCCATGATCATATCTTCTTCATCTGTATCTTACCACAGTTCCTAACACAGGATTCATCACACAAGAAGCAATTACATATTTAATGAACCGAACAACAGAGTACTCTGCACATGTAGATTGTGAAAACAATGCTAGGAGCTCAAACTTTAACCCACAACCCATGTCTGTCTCATCTTCTAGCTGAGAAAAATGAAACAAAAGAGATGAGTGGTGGTGGATGCTGGAAATGAAGTAGAGAATTAGGCTGGAGAGTAAAGGGAAGGTCTAATACATACTTTCTTCCTAGAGAATCAAGGAGGTAGATGCATTATACGTGTGAAAATGTTGGAGGGAGGAACTGAGAGCCTGAAAATCAGAATGTCCTCATACAGGTTTCCTGTGAACAAGCCCCCTTTCCCCCCCAAAGAGAGATCATATCCACTCATAGTGCCCTACAGGTAGGCCAGGTAAAGCAGAGTTTCTGAGGGTTACGAAATTCTTTTTTTTTGAGTCAAGAGTTTCACAAGGTCACCCAGGATGCAGGGCAGAGGCATGATCACAGCTCGGCCTCCTGGGCTCAAGTGATCCTCCTGCCTCAGCTTCCCAGTAGCTGGGACTACAGGCGTGTGCCACCAAGTCCAACTAATTTTTTTTAATTTTGTAGGATGAGGTCTTGTTTTGTGGCCCAGGTCGGTCTCAAACTCCAGGGCTCAAGCGATCTTTCCTCGGTCTCCCAAAGTGCTAGGATTACAGGCGTGAGCCATCTACCCCTAAAAAGTCTTTTTTCTTTAGTTGGAGTCTCACTCCATCACCCAGGCTGGAGTACAGTGGCACGCTCATGGTCACCCTAGCGTCAACCTGCTGAGCTCCGGCAATCCTTCTTCCTCAGCCTTCCAAACAGCCAGAACTACAGGCGTGTGCTACCACATCTGGATAATTTTTTAAAAATTTATTGTAGAGACAAGGTCTTGTCACGTTTCCCGGGCTGGTGTCGAACCCGCGGGCTCAGGCAATCCACTCACTCCGGCCTCCCAAAGTGCTGGGATTACAGGCTGAACAACCGAGCCCGGCCTGCCCCTGTAAATTCCAACAAAGAGGGCATATACAATAACGTGGTGGACCACATCACCACCACCATCATTACTATCATCAAGTGCTTACTGTTGTACCGTGTTCAAGGTAGAATTCTAAGCACATTACAACTCTCACATCACTTAATCCCCAAACAAACAATTCTATGAGGTAGGTACTGTAACCCCATTTTCAAATTAAGATATTGGAGACAGAGTCCAACAGGAGCAGAGCAGAAATCTGAACCCGGGAACCAAAGAGCAAGTTAAGGAAAGGGGTTCGGCAAAACCATATTAACTGAAGAACACACTCTCTGATGTTGTGGCTGGATCCAGGAATTAAAACTGGGGATGTTTCCCGGAATAAACTACACCTTTTTTAGGTAGTTCTCAATACGCATTTGCAAGAGTAAAGTTTCTGGTAACAGCAAAATAACATGCAGTTCAAAGCCTTATTTTCTGTCCTCATCCTGTGCATTCTCACCTGGCTACCAAGATAACTGATTTTAGGATGACAGAGCCTGAAGAAAGAGGCCAGACTTTCCAACGGAAAATAACTCAAAGGCCCTTCCACTTCCCTGGACACCTAGCTCTAAAGAGAAGCTGCAGTCCCAGGACAAGACACGTGTCCATGGACTTCTGACCAAGAGGTCAGTCCCAAAGCAGGACACATGGGGGGTACTGCTCATCCAGCTATATGCAATCTTTACCTGCCAAACGATACACGAGAAATGCTATGCCGCTGATCTGCTGAGGAGGCTGCCTTAATCCTCTGTACCCCTGAAACGAGCCAGCTGAAGAGCCAAGAATAAAGGCCATTGCTAGAAAAGAATGTAAAGGGTGCCCCCCGGAGTTGTGTAACAGGGTGCTCTGGTGCCAGATCATTCAAATACCCGTTTACTGTCCACTTCACCACTTACTCTGTCTTTCATGGTGGAATTTCACCAAACCACCCCAACATCCAAGCAGGCACCCATCACTATTCTTACAAACCAAAGACCATAAATATTACGGGGGAAACTCATCTATACACAATACCAGTTTTTTACGGTTACGCCGATACATCTAAGCAAGCAATCAAAAGAACCAGTTTACCCTACGCTGGGAAGGAAGAAGACGACTTCTATTATAGCCCCAAAGAGCGGGAAAGAAGAAAAAGCATAAGAGGCACAAAGAATGCCGGACTGAAAAATCTGAGTTCTGCTTTCACCTTCACTCCTGCACCAAGCCTCAACTATTCTGTTAATAAGAAAGGAGGTTTACTATAATAAGGGTGGACCGTTTCCTCCAAGAGGTTCAAGGAACTATGTATTCCCTCTCCAACCTCAAAAGAAGTCTAGAAGCACTGAGGAGGTAAAGGAGAGAGACACTATAAAACCCCCAGCAGGACTTGAACTCTTGCACCAGAGATGTCTCCACCTGACCACATCCTTCCATAATCCTAGCAGCCATCCAGGGATAGAAGTATCGTGGCCTCCAGCATGTGGTTTTGGCAGATATGGTGAAGACCACCACCTCATTCCCAGAACTTACCTATTTTTTTTTGTTTTTCAGGTAAAGCACAATTTTCTTTTCCCATGAAAACAGCATTCCCTGAAAACAAACTACCTTTAGAAAGTCATGAAATGCGCGTATCCACCAAGTTCAGTGGCTAGAGAATGGACCTAGGAAACAAAGACTTGTGGATTCTAATTCTAGGTCCTACACCATCCTGCACAGCACCCACTTTTTATGGTTATGCCGACATAGTCGGGCAAGCAAGCAAAAGAACCCGTTTACCCTACAATGGGCAGGAAGAAGACGACATCTATTAGAGCCCCAAAGAGCAAGTCGTCGCCTTCCTTCCCAGTGTAGGGTAAACAGGTTTTTTTGCTTGCTTGCTTAACTATATTGGCATAACCATAAAAAACGGGCACTGTGCGGATGACTCTGAATAATTAACTGCTCTGCTGTGTTCTACGGGGGTGGAGGATGGAAGAGGATGAACTCTTTACAAATAAGTATTTAAGGCACACAGGGATGAGAGGGAAGCAGTCCTAAGAAGAATAAAACGCTTCAAGTGCTCCTGAAAGGAAGAGAGTTAGAGAAATACTTCCACACGAGGAGGACTGTTAGTGACAATTAGGGAGAACTACATAAAGACCCCATAATTACAAAGGAGCTACCCAAAAGTAACGGATCTATAACCTCTAGTTTAGTAATCATCTGCAAGGAGCATCAACAAGAAAAAGATGCAAAAAGTGGTCAATTTGGAGACAACTACAGAAACAACTGAGACACTGTTGAGAGAAACAGTTTCAAAATGCACAACTGCAGAATGTCTGCATTAGCAGAGGACTTGAAGAAACACAAAGAACCATTTTTTTCCTCAGTAAGAAAACATAATTTCTCTTAGGTTCTGCAGACATTCAAGATGGGTCATCCCAGTGGGATTCGGGGTTGAACTCTTATACAAAATAACTCAGACCAGGTTTACCACTCATCACACCACACAACCCACCACCACCACCACGCAGCCAGCAACCTGGGCTAGGAGCTTCTGCCCTGGCACCACCAGACCATTGCACCCTGTGTCCTGCGGGAGGGACAGCACGGTGGCTCTCCCTGCCCTGCCTGTTCCAATGATGGATCTGGGAAATGCAAGGCCAAAAAAAATTAAGTAAGGCTGGAGAAGAGATATAGACCTAATATTTATTTTTATTTATTTATTTGTTTTTGAGTGGGAGTCTCACTCTGTCACCCAGACTGGAGTGCAGTGGCCGCTCCCGGCCACTGCAGCCTTGACCCGCTGAGCTCCGGCGATCCTTCCGCCTCAGCCTTTCAAGCAGCTGAAACTACCGGTGCGTGCTACCACACCCGGCTCATTTTGATTTATCGTAGAGATGAGGTCTCACCAATTTGCCCAGGTGGGTCTCGAACCCGCGGGCTCAGGCAATCCACTCACCTCAGCCTCCCAAAGGTGCGGGATTACAGGCTGAGCCACCGAGCCCGGCTTACACTTAATATTTAATCATCAACTTGGCTCAGAAGCCTCTGGTGAACTTATTTTATAAACCGGCCTGGAATTGGTCCTTAAAAGATACTTCTAGGATCATAAACTCTAAACTCACACTTTTTGGTCCATACACTGTCATCTTCAGACTACCTAGAACTCTATCACCTTCCAGCCACATGTGCTGAATTCTTCCAGACCTACCTCTGAAGTCTACTCTGACCCATCTTATTCCAAACTACCTACGAAGCAGTTTTTTCCTAAAAGCTTCACCCTGACACAACAAATTCAAATAACCCCAGGAAGCATTTTCTCAATACTCAACAGATCCACTTCAAACACTCTACAGGAAAACTCAGCATAGGAACCCCACTCTAAGCTCTGCTTGTTCCAAATGCAGGAAAAGAACTATATTGGAAATTAGGGCCTGTGTGTCCCCAAAGAGAATAAGTTTCTCCTTTGGACACAGGGCAACCCCATTCAGCTGCTTCACTTGAGCATTCACGTTTCATTCTGGTGAGCACTAGAGGGAAGGGAAGGTGACGGGGAAAATGCCAACTTTTCATACAAAAACTTCCTGGGTACCTTCAAGAAATAATAGGGAAAGGCCGGTTTTTCTCCCACAGCAAACACTCATCTTGTAATCGCTACTACTTGACTTATGCGATCACACTGTCCAAAAACACCCCCGTCTGAGCGTGACCCCTGCTCCCACATACCCAATAAGCCACTGTCCCGAAACCGTCTTACCCGCTCTCTCTCTTCCTCCAGACGTCTTACTCCTTCTCCTTTCCAGGGCTCCTGAACTTTCTGTAAACAAATCGTCCGCGTTACAGGGGCCGGGGAGGCAGCCGCCAGAGCTCTGCGGAGACCCTCGGGAGTCCCTCGGGAGTCCCGGGACTGTCAGCAGCCAGTCCCGAAGGCAGGCGGACCCCGACCACCAATCCAAAGGCGCAAGGACGGCACAACAGGCGACTAGTGCCCCCTTCTATGTGGACACATGGAAGACAAGTCCCGTTCCCAGAAACTAAGACGAACTCTACCCAGCGCTGGGTCCCACTCCCGGGCCGACACCGGACCTTCGGGGTCCCCGGCCCCCGGCGGCCAGAGGACAGAGGCGCCGGGTCTCTGCCCCAGGACGGCTCCAGAAGGCCAGGCTGAGGCTGGGGGGATGCACGAGCCCGGGGTCAGGCACGGCGCCAGTCCGGGCCCAGTCACTTCCTCGAGCCTCCCCCGTCCCTCGGAGGACTTCGCCCCTGCCTGCCAAGGCCTGGTGCCCAGAAGTGCCTCCTGCAGCCTGCACGGTGGTCTACCCGCTGGAGACCCCAGCTGCGCCCCAAAGCCTCCGCTGCCCCGAGACAGCCCCCGGGAGCCCGCTGCGGACGTCGCCCCACTCCTCCCTCAAGACCCCTCCTCG